CCCTAATTAAGTTAATAACAATGTACCTACCTATATAGTTTAAGTTTCAAAAATTTGGTTCTCAAAAGAAATTTCAATCGTTGTACTGTTGATATTTGGTTCTGTTGACTAATGAGTTTGCCAACCACTGATCTAGATGATTCTAAAGTTCAATCTAGACTGACAATCACCAACCATAGTACACTAAGCAATGTAACATCAGTCCAGTGTCTGAAATCGGACACTATTTCGAGCCCTGTAAGGGAAAAGTAAACCCAAAGTTTTATTTTATTCTAATATTGAAGTTATTTTAAGGCCAGTTACTGAACCCTCTTAACTTTCTAAATTTTAATTAATGGAGTAATATCCAGAACCCAGGGGGTTAAAAAATAACATAGGTGATTATTCACATGCTATGTTTGAAAAAGAAATCAATATTTTACTCTTTGGGTATCACTGATTCTCGTAAATAATCCTTTTACTTTCTCACCGCTATTAATAAGATGCAAGAAAAAAAGTGCTCTAAATTGCGGGCATTCATCTGTGATGAACCACTTCTGGAAGGGGCAATTCTATATGGTGTAAGCCAAGCTGAACGGAAGCAGGAGTCCTTTCCCATTGCCCAGCATAGCAGAATGACAAAAATGTTCTATAAAAAGGAATCAATAAAGATTTAAACATTAAAAATTAGGAAGCTTTATAGTAATTACTACAATGATGAAAGGTTATCAACATTCCACATTAATATATACAGTTTCCTATTAGACTTTACTTAACAGTTAATGATGCTCTGAGCAATGCTGGCTATCGCAGTTAATACATAGCTGAGGTACAAGCAGAACCCGGGAACCGGTGTGGGCGCTGAGGCAGAGGGCTCTGTTCCCGTCCCTGCCATTTGACCCTGGAGGAGTTCTTTATCAGACTCCTGTGTAAATTTTAAATAACAATATTTTGAGGAATGAAAGAAATAACATAAAAAAGCATTTTAAACTGCAACGTGTTAAACATCTTGTCATTGTCACAATTGTTACCATTTTAAAAATGCAACTCTTAATTGGCAGCTGCCTACTTATAAGTCTATGAAACTATATTTTTTAGATGTTACAGTTTATATAAATAGAGCAAGTTTTTCATGATCAAAACTACTATATGTTGAAACAATTGTTAATTGAAGGGTGATGGTTTTCAAATTACAAATTACAGTCATTATTTGTTGATATTGATGAATCCTATGAACTAACTATAACTCATGGAAGTGACCAGCTCCCTTAGCATATTGAGCGTGTGGCATGCAAATTTTACTAGTATATGCCATTTAAAGCTTTCCTTTTAGAAATCTAACATATATTTTATTTCTCTATCTAGTCTTTCCATTAAAGGACACTTTAGCTGTGGTGTCACTACATTTTAAGCTTTCAATTTGGGAGCAGAAAATTTCTAATAGTGTCCATCTAGCTGTTAGTATTCCATGCCCTGAACAGTGCAGAGAGCCACAAGGGTATCAGGAAGAATCTAAGCTGTCTGTAGCATCCAATACTAATTGGAAAGTATAAACATGATATTGAATAGTATAAGAATGAATGACTCATGTTGATACTTTTTTACACTTCACAAATATAAAATTATACAACAATCCTAAATAATAAATTATTTAAATAAGCTGAGATGAATAAGCAATAAGAACAATTGAATAATAATTTTAAAAGTAGCTATGACTTAATGAAAATCACAAATCATTTTTTGGGACAATTTTACCCATAAGTTATATTATCCATATAATGTTAGCTATAAATTTTAACTTTGTAATTAACAAAAATATTTTAATATAAAAGTATGGGGGCTGTCCTTCTTTTACATGTTTATATATGTAACTAATTTCCAATTTCTATTTTAAACATACTAATTCTACATCTTTAAGAAAATTACTGTTAAACTTGATATTTAAAGTAATATAAACTTGGTGAATCCTCAATATTTATCATTTTCTATACTGCAGGGTTTTTTTCTCAAAAATGGTTTTAAATATGTTTAAATATATTTAATATAAATTGAGAAATCTATTTCAAAGTATACCTGTGGGTTGTCCTTATTTATACAAGTAAAAGGCAATGCTATTTTATTAGCTTATTTGTATACCCCTCTTTATCCCAAACAGGATTACAGTGTCCTGGTATAAATAGCTACACCATCACATAAAAATATTAGAGAAAATGAGATAAGTATTAAAGTGAGTAAAGAAAAAATAAGTTGAAGCTCAAAGTAAGGTTAGAATGCATATGGCTTGGTGTATTTGCCAGAGAAAGGCTACAAATTTAGCTCTAAGAGAAAAATCTGACTGACCAATGACACAAAGTGTCCAGATGTTCAGAGGATGTGGTCAATTCTGGTGCTGAAGGAGATAAAGTCCCAAATAAAATGGAAAAGGCACACATTTGTTTTAACTGGACATTCAAGACAAAAAGCCAAAAGATCTAAAAAGCAGAAATGGATATCCATAAGACATACTAAGATATCTATACCTAGACCACCTTACGATAAACACCACACTTGCTCCCTTGTCTTGGTCTAGTTCTGTTTTCAGAACCTTGAGAGCAGATTGGGTAGTGGAGGGAAGAAAACCTTAGGTCAGGTGACATAATCTTCTTGTCCAGCGGTTCTCAACCTGTGGGTTGCAACCCCTTTGGCGGTCGAACGACCCTTTCACAGGTGTCGCCTAAGACCATCCTGCATATCAGATATTTACATTGTGACTCATACAGTAGCAACATTATAGTTATGAAGTAGCAACGAAAATAATTTTATGGTTGGGTCACAACATGAGGAACTGTATTTAAAGGGCCAGAAGGTTGAGAACCACTGTATGTTGTCTAATATTGTGAACAGACTCCAGGAGGTCTTGATGTACTGCACTGGTAACTAGGTATTTCCTTACAGAAACTTACTGCCAAAAAAATCAAGATTTGAGCTCTAGCCAAACAAACTTACAAAGGAGGCCACAGGTAAATCCCAAGATTAATTAATGTCAAAATAATTAAATCAGATGCCCATAGTATCCAAGAAAAATCACTGGAAATGACTCAAATGTACGAAGTGGATGTAGAAAAATTCTCCCTGCTTTTGGCTGAGAAAGGAAGTTTAAGGTTGAGAAAAAAATGGAGCCAAGAGGAGTAAGGGTAGTGGGACCGAGTGGAGGAGAAAGATGGCTTCCTACCAGCTTTCCATGCAGGGGCCAGCTCCCAGTTAGCCTTTACCTTGTGTAGATATCTGTAAGCCTCAACCAGCTACTGTGCCCAGCCTTTGCAGCGCAAGATGGGAAAGAAAGGCACATTTGCTGACTTAGAGAAGGAATTAGCAAACTACACAAAGAGAATATTTTCAGTATCATTTAGGAATAGAGACAAAAATACACCTTAATATGTAAAAACACGTAGTTTCCAAATTTAGAAATTCCTGAAATAATGACTAAGAACACTATAGAGGGTGTTCCCTAACAGGAAGAGGAACTCAGAGACCACAGAGAGAAAAGAACTCAAGAAAGAGAAAATGAAAATGAGGTGGAGAAGGCTGTGGGGTAGGAAGGAGCAAAGGACCAGAAAGAGGAAACCGGCCAAGAATTTACCTTACTGCAGTTTGGCACTGTGGGGCCTAACCTAACAGGCTATTTGAGGTACCGAGTCTCTGGCAAGGTCCCCCTCTTTGACAGCCTTTACCTGAGCAGAAACAGGGTAGAACTCCACATGGAAAATTTAAATACAGTGGGGGTGAGACAAGTGGCTTCTATAGTATTGCTATAATAGTATTTTTAAAAATCCTCACCCAAGGATATGTTTTGATTTGAGAGAGAGAGAGAGAGAATGTGAAAGAGAAACATTGATCAGTTGCCTGCTATATGCTCCCCAATCTGGGATCAAACCCACAACCTATGTGCCCTGACCAGGAATCAAACCCAAAACTTTTCAGTGCATGGGAAGACACACCAATCAACTAAGCCACCCGGCCAGGGCAACTATTGATTTTAGTTATTATAGGGAGGAATCATCTTGGACCCTTCTCTGGAACATTTACTTAATGAGATACACAAAAACCTTCTCTGTAGCATTCTCATTTATAAGGCAATCTCATGAATGGGTCCTGAAGATATTATCATAATTAAGTTCTAGGGTATATAGGAATGCAAAATCCTGATAAACTGGACTCTTCTCATAGGAGAAGCATGTTTGTAGATAAATTCCAAAATCACTGAATGCTTTCTGTATATGGGAATATGCAAGGATGGGGAGCTACTAAGGAGAATTTGTCTTTTCTTTAGAAATCATAAAACTTGATTGAAATGACAACTAGAGAAAACCACACATAACAGGTACAATATGATGAGATGCTAGGAATGAAAAATGGAAAAAGGTAAGTAATGGCTTACAACTACTTCTGTTTAAAGACTGGAAATATATTCAAGAAATAGACTAATATGGTAAGGGTGAGGTGAATCATTGGCTAGCATTAAATTTGAACTGGGTCTTGAACTGTTGGTCTGTTGGAAAAGTGATGACAGGCAATTAGAGAGGAGCTCAATGAGCAAAGGTACAAAGTGAAGAATATAAAAGAAGATATAAGGGACAAGAATCAAGAGGTAATAGAAAAGATGCCAGGAGGAATAAAAAGATGACCTTGGACAGCAATGAAATAAACAGTTGAAGGAAAGAGCTTTAAAAATCAACTTCTAGGCCTGGCCGGCATGGCTCAGTGGTTGAGCGTTGATCTAGGAACCAGGAGGTCATGGTTCGATTCCCGGTCAGGGCACATGCTCGGGTTGCTGGCTTGATCCCCCATGTGGGGCATGCAGGAGGCAACCGATCAATGATTCTCTCATCATTGATGTTTCTCTCTCTCTCTCTTCTCCCCCCTTCCTCTCTGACATCAATAAAAATATATATTTTTTTAAAAACCAACTTCCAGGAGCACAGGAAGTGCTATGATGAAAGCAGTATTTAATTTTTTTTAATTTTTTTTTTTACTTTTGGCAGGTGAAACAACAGGATTATTGGAGACAGGTGGTTGCTAACTAATGGAGAAGCACCATTTAGGAGATGTTTGGAGACTCCTACACTGCAGACTTCATGCTATGGAACAGCAACTGTCAAAACAGGTATCTGAAATGTGTGCATGTATGTGTGCTGTTGTTTTTGTTGTCCTCGTGGTTGTCATTTGGAGGAAATGTTTTACACTGATTAAGTTACTTCTGGAAAAATAAATCACCTCTTCTGTCATAGGAGATGTGGAATGGAATCTGTTTTCTCATGGCTTTTTATTAAGACTTTTATTTCATATGTATTAAGAAAGAATTTTGAGACAAGGGATGTTATTAAAATACTAAGAGGCCCAGTGCACAGATTCATGGGGTCCCCCTAGACCGTGGGGTCCCTAGACCTGGCCTGCACCCTCTCGAAATCCAGGACCCCTCGGGGGATGTTGGAGAGCCGGTTTCGGCCTTATCCCCACAGGCCAGGTACAAGTCCATGCACTGGGCCTCTAGTATGCATATAAAATCTTTGGTTAATTTCTTCCCACTCTCCCCCCTCCCCACTTTCCTCTGATATTCATCAGTCTGTTCCATGTTTCCATGCCTGTGGTTTCTGCTCCTGCATTGAGCATCTGCCCCCCTGATGGTCAGTGCGTGTCATAGCTACCAGCCGGTCAGCTGGTCGCTTAGGCTTTTATATATGTATAGATTGTCTTAGATGACTGGAGGAACACAATAGAGCTATTGTGATAACTCCAACTGCTGATTGGTTTTATTTAATCATATTTCTAAGATCTAAAACCTGGAAAGTATTTGTCAAGATAATTTACCTTGAAGTTGGATCAGAGAAAGATACTATTGTCCTTAAATTAAATTACAGAATATCTTATAAAAGGATGAGCTTAACACTACATTCAACTTTTTTTTTACTGTCATGCTATCAAAGTAGTAATAATTGCATGTTTAGCATTCACAGTGTGAAAGGTGCTGAATAACATTCTTTACAAAATAGCAAATGATAGTGTCCTGTTGGGTCACAACATGAGGAACAGTATTTAAAGGGCCAGAAGGTTGAGAACCACTGCTCTAGAGCTATTGTGATAACTCCAACTGCTGATTGGTTTTATTTAATCATATTTCTAAGATCTAAAATCTGGAAAGAATTTGTCAAGATAATTTACCTTGAAGTTGGATCAGAGAAAGATACTATTGTCCTTAAATTAAATTACAGAATATCTTATAAAAGGATGAGCTTAACACTACATTCAACTTTTTTTTTACTGTCATGCTATCAAAGTAGTAATAATTGCATGTTTAGCATTCACAGTGTGAAAGGTGCTGAATAACATTCTTTACAAAATAGCAAATGATAGTGTCCTCAGATGCAGAAGTCTGTGGAAATGCTATGTAAATATTTGAGGTAAGAATTTGGTTTGAAGTGTTTAGAAAAAGGAATGAGATATTTAAATGAGACAAATGGCTTAGAGGCTTAATGGAAACAGATGGGTAGCAATTATAGGGAAAGCTAAGCCGGGAGCACCAAGCAAAGAGTTCCCGGCTGGAGAAAAGCAGATGCTCTGAGCCCAGGAATGGGAGGACTGAGAAAGCATGAGTAGAAATTGCTTACTCCAGCCCTTGTTTAACCTTTACTTATAAGTAAAAAATAAAATAAAATTGAAATTTAAGATAGGAAAATAGCTTAAGCAATGCTACCAGATGAAAGTCATCTGTAAGCCATAGCAGCTGTATCGTTTTTTTCTCTCTCCTGCTTCCCACTTTCCTCCCCTTCTTTCTAGTCACTTCCCACCAAAAGTCAGGATTTGTTTTATAGCTTTGTCCTTTTCTTCATTTTGTCAGAAAGGACCACAGACTTCCACACAACTCCAATCTTGAGTTCATAGAGTAAAGGAGAGAGGAAAAATAAAAAAATAAAAATACCTATTCTTAAAAGGATGGAGTAGAAGGGTTTTGGCTACTAATTTTTTTTTTCCATGTTCAGGAAGCCTAGGAAAATTGAATAAAGCAGGAAGGAGGAGGGGCTAATATAACTTACAGATTTCCCAGGTACACTTGTAAGAGTAACTGGTTGTATTCCCAGTTTGGGCGGATTCATTTTTAACTAGGATAAGGGGGCAAGTGGAGAAAGGTGTGGAACTGTGGCATTATAATATTCTTGGTTTATTCTGATTATATTTAATAATTCCACAGTATATTTAAAATATATCATGCTTAACATTTTTATTGATGTTTCCTTTTTAAAAACATGTTTTTTATCGATTTTAGAGACAGAGGGAGAGGGAGAGAGAGATTGAAACATCAATGATGAGAGAGAATCATCGATTGGAGGCCTCCTGCACCCCCTCTCCCCCACTGGGGATCAAGCCCTAAACCTGGGCCTGTGCCCTGACCAGAAATCAAACAGGCGACCTCCTGATGTAAGAGAGGGTCCTCAACCAACTGATGTTTTCTTTTTTGAGGCTATCATCCAAATAACCTGAGGCATTAGTATTTTGACAGGAAGTGCTGGGCATACTTGTAACTACTAACCTTTAAGATCTTCAAACATGTATTTTGACCACTAAAACCCTAATTGAAATCATGTTATGTCAAAGAAGATGGATAGTACAAGAAACAGTATACAAGGAGAATGAAAATATTTGGGAGGAAAATAAATCTTTGTAATTACTGGCTGGTGTTTGGGGAAAAGCAGATGCTTGCTCTTAAGGAGAGCAACTCACTTTAATTATGGAGATTCCTTGCTTCTATTGGTAATGGAAAGACACTGAAGTTTTCAAATCAAGTTATAATAAATATGTATGTCTACTGAAGTGGAATAAGAAGTAAATCTTAAATAAATATAATTCGTAACAGAAAAATAAATATTAGAAATTACCTAAACTTGGTAATTAGCACCAAGTATCTTCACAGAAAATTTAGCCACTTTAAATTTATATCAGAGAGAGTGAGAAGTATTCAAAGAAATACCCATGCCTGGCTGCAGTGGCTCAGTAGATGAGTGTCAAACTATGAAGCAGGAGGTCACGGTTCAATTCCCTGTCAGGGCACATGCCCGGGTTGCAGGCTCGATCCCTAGTGGGGGACATATGGGAGGCAGCCGATCAATGATTCTCTCTCATCATTGATGTTTCTATCTCTCTCTCTCTCCCTCTCCCTTCCTCTCTGAAATTAATAAAAATATATTTCTAAAAAAGAAATAGAACAAAATAAGTGACCAAAATTCTTGAAGAAGCATGAGTTCTCTATTTCAAAAAGTTTGAGTTAACGTACTGTGTAGGAGCCATTATATGTCAGAAAAAAAAATCTAGCTGACAGAAAGCCAAACTAAATATTATCTCTGTCCTCAGGGAAATTTCAATCTAGCTGAGGAAATTAAACAAATAATAATAACCCAAAGTGTGATACTAATTAAACTTAATCCAAATTATGTAGGGTTGTACAGTGTATACTATAAAGTTTAGCATAAACTTCACATTCATTTAAATATATGAATATAAAAATGCTCTGGCTTCAACAGTCCAGACTCCATTAATCACCTGTATTGGTTCCATTGATTTGGCTGACTTGGGGGGTGGACTTTGTTCCCCTCTCATCTCAGCCCAGCATAGAGTGCCTGTTGTTAAATGTCCTAACTGCTCTCTCCTCTGAACAGTGATGATCTATATTATTATGTACATTTTACAAATAAAGAAATTAGGACTCAGAGAAGCTAAGTTCTTTTTAAAAAATATGTATTTATTGATTTCAGAGAAGAAGGGAATGGGAAGAGGGAGAGAGATGAAACCTCAATGATGAGAGAGAATCATTGATCAGCTGCCTCCTGTACACCCCACACTGGGGATTGAGCCCGCAACCCAGGCATGTGCCCTGACCAGGAATCGAACCGTGACCTCCTGGTTCATAGGTTGATGCTCAACCACTGAACCACACCAGCCAGGCAAAGTTAAGTTTTTACCCAAATGCCACAGCGAGGACTCCTTTTGAGTCTAAGTTCTAATCTTTTCAATAAAACATAGTCATCTTCACATGATATCACTAATGTTAGAATCGTTGGTCTTTTTTGTTGTTAATCCTCACCGAGGATATTTTTCCATTGATTTTTAGAGAGAGTGGAAAAAAGGGGGAAAGACAGAGAGAGAGAAACATCGATATGAGAGAGACATATTGATTGATTGCCTCCTGCACATGCCCTGCCGGGGGCCAGGGATTGAGCCTGCAACTGAAGGTACATGCACTTGACTGGAATCAAACCCAGGACCTTTCAATCCTCAGGCCGAAGCTCTATCCACTGAGCCAAACCAGCGAGGGTGAATCATTGGTCTTTTAGTAAATCCTCCAGCCAGTCTCCCAGATCCATAATAGGAACAGTAGAAACTGATCTGTGCCAAATTTATGGAGACTATTGCCTTTTCTACATTCATAATTAAGGTATTTCTAGACAAAATGATAATTGATATCAACCAATAGTCACTGTCTATAGTATAGTGTGAAGGATTCTGAACACTTGCTTCTGATCAATAGAAAAAGGGCCATGATTAGTCGTTGATGTTACCATGAGCATAGAAAGGGGAAGTAGTTACATACAGCTCATGGGGGTTTTTTTTATGCCTACCTGCTATAGAGTAGCACAGTTTATACATTTTATCTACAATATAATTTTGCTGATTTATTGTTACTCATTTTTCTCTACAATCCATGCTATAATCTACCATGACTCTCTGTTTTGCCCTCCCTTATCACACAACACACTAATTTTCTATTCTTGCTTCTAACTATCTACTTCAAACAGTTCTTTTTATAATCACCAGGGGGAAAGACCCTTAACCTGTTTATTATCTTTATGTAGAGACTATAGTTTGTCACTTTGAATAGGTAGGTATAATATGGACATAAAGAATCAAAGTTAACATGTAAGTATAAAAAGTAAATTATAGTCACAAAGAATCGAATTACAGTTACCATAGTAACCTTAACTATGAATGTTAAGGCTTTCTAAGGTAGAAAACTTAACTATAATAATGCAGAAACAGGGATTTTTTTATGCTTAATAAGCCAGAGATATTATATATCATGATTGCGTGCAATAAATTACTTCTGCGGAGTAAAGA